GGGGGGAGGTTATCCACCTGCTGCCAGTCGCCAAAATTTGGCGGCGCGAAAACCGATACTGTTGACGTCCTCCCTCGCCTGCTGATCTGCAGTGCCGCCGCGTGCAGCGTACAACACAATCTCCTCTCTGTGTATCGAATTCGAAATTTAATCTGTCGCAGCCAGAAGCATTTTCAGCCCCGCGGGGTGACAAAACTTTCAGAACGCGAGAGGAGTGAGCAGAGACTGAGCCAGAGAGAAAGAGACAGAGCGAGAGGAGCAAAAGCAGACTCGCGGACATACACGCCAAGGCCGAGAGGAAACATTATATGTCGTATCTCTATACGAAATGGAGGCGTTGCTCGAAACGGCCAGCTTAACAGTCAGCGTAAAAATGTTGCCGCATCGCCCGGGGCTCCCTTTTCTGTTTCTTTCTCTCTTGTGTTTTAGCTCGCTCCTGCCCGACGTCTTCGTGCGGTCTGCAACAACTGCGTGTGTGTGTGTGTATGTGTGTGTGTGTGTGCGCACGACTCTACGCACGTCGCGTCGGTGTCGCTGTGGTGCGGCTCCGCCGTGGGCCGATGGGGATTAATGTGTTATTCGGCATTGGGTCGGTGCCATTCGGGGAGAGCCGCCGCCGCTATTCACAATCTGGAGCGACCCGAATGGATTTTAACATAATACGTCTCTACACGGATAGCGACACACACGCACGCACGAGCAGCAGAGCGCAGTCTCTACAATACGGGCCGGCCGGGCTCACACCTCATGCGGTGCGCTACGCTACGCCGCGCCACGCCCTGCGCGTCTCTCTCTCCGCAGCGGCACCCCGCCCCGCGTGCGCAGCATCCCAATGCCGCGAGAGAAAGAGATGAAGATCAGTGTCGGCCTGGACCAAAGGCCCCGCTGCTGCTCTTGCCATGCTCTTGACAATCACAAACATACAAAAAAACAGCAGGCTTCGGTAGTATTCTTTTGTCAATGAACAATTCAGTATGATGTCGTTGTTCCAAAAAGAGATACAAAAAAAATTTGCTGTGAAACGTTTTAATTGGTACACGCTAGGTGTGTTTTTGTGGAAATGTTCGTTCTACGCTTCATTTCGGACAAATAGTTTGAGCCTAAAAGTGCGCGTAATTTCGTACAAAAATGTCCAAATCGACATAGAGGGGTGTGCAAAAAATTTGTTCGCGTAACATGGTACAAATAAATGGTGCAATTCCATTTAGTGTTTAGTAGGAGTAGGCGGCGGGAAGTAGTAGTGTAGCTGTTGCTGCACTTGACGGCCGATGCCTGGCGCGGGCCGCGGCGTGCACCGGCCGGCAGCGCGGAGGTTGTTAAAAACGATGCTCTGTAGTCGCTCCGACTCCTGCATCGGGAATATCGCGCGCACTCTTAATGCTCGCCGCGCCTCGCGAGCGCATAGTCATTTGTTTGTGGAGCTATCTCGCGACGACGTGTTGGTCAAACGCCTAACGGCCTTGTCCGTCTGTTTCAGGTGAGGAGAAACACAACCGCAACGGCGACAACGGCCCGCAGAGCAGACTTCCCTCTTCTCGTCGGTCGTCCCCGCCGCCCCGCCCACGGCGGACGCGCGAGCCGCCACCACGGCGCCTGTACCGCCTGCACCCCGCGGGACGCACGGGAGGACGCGATAAGGTACATGAGTGCGCGAGCGTGCGCCCCCTCAGCAGGCGGCTCAACACGAGACGACAAAACAGTCAAATGGGTCCTCGCTCGTCTGTTATCGTCTATCTTTGTCTGTCCGTCTCTCGCTGCTCGCGTGCGCTCGGCATCCTCACGCCAGTACGCGCCAGTATAGGGCAAGATGTGTGCTCTAACTTTTAATCAGAGGATTTGCCTAGTAGCCACTACAGTTTTGTGCTGTTGTATGTATATCAAAAAGCTCTTTAGTAGTTCTTAACTTTTTCCCGGTTTTATTCGTTTTATTCGTTCTTTAGTACTGAAATATTATAATGTAATAAGGGATCATCCAGAAAGTACGCCCGTTATTCGCCGGCACAAAAGTGCCAAGTTAAAGCCTTTGCTGGCTCCCATAGCGCCTGGTAGGTAGGCAACATCTTGCATGACGTGCTTGCGTGTACTGCGGGGATGCCTACCTTCCGTTTTGCAGGCGCCGAGCTCCGCGGTAATTTTTGCCGAATGAGTCGGAGAAAAAACGTAGTAGTTACTATAGGCATATGCTTATCTAGCAAAAAGTTTAGTGTGGAAACCTTTTTGACCCCCCCCC